AACAGGACGATTGTGGACGGCATCAAGAAGAGACTGCACGAGTTGGGCACGTCCTGGGTAGAAGAGCTGTCCTATGTGTTATGGGCCCATAGGACTACTCCAAGGAGAGCCACAGGAGAGACTCCCTTTGCCTTGGCTTATGGCTTTGAGGCAAAGGTACCTACCGAGGTCTTGGTCCCTAGCACGAGGGTGGAAGCATACACTCCAAGCCTCAATGAGCAATTGATGGAAGTGGACTCCCATTTCACTCAAGAAAGGAGGGACGACGCGGCAATGAAGGCGGAAGAGTACCAACGGCAATCCAAGAGGTACCACGACAAAAAAGCTGTAGTTCGGACGTTTGAAGTCGGAGATTGGGTCCTACGTAAAAGGGAGAAAAGTCAGCCCACTAAAGGAGGAAAATTAGCCCAGAATTGGGAAGGACCATATCGTGTGGAGAAGGTGGTGCGTACAGGCACCTATCAGTTGGCTACATCGGAAGGGAAGGCATTGGACAATTATTGGAATGTGGAGCATCTCAAAAAATTCTACCAGTAAAAGCTATCTGTTCGAGGTTCCGTCTTCCCATAATATTTCGGTCCTCACTTTTTAAAGTTTTTTCTTTTCCTTTTGGTTCAAAGAGAAGGGATTGTACTGTGCTTAACATGAAGAAGAAATTTTCCATTCATCATCAATTGCTCCGGTCCATGAGATATTAAAAAAAAAAGGGACGGAGGCATACAAAGAGGACCGATCCTTACAAAGAAGTGACAAAATCAATACAAGAGCACATGAGGACCGTTCCTAAACAAACTACAATAGTGACTTGAGAATTCAGGGCGAGGGAGAAGAACGGAGGAAAGAAGGCTCTGGTCCCATGGGTCCTGGGATGCCTGGAAACTTCAGCCAAGGATCCTGCCCATCGGAATAGGGCTCCAGGCCATGATAAAACTGTTGTTGGACCTCCAATCCTCCACGATACAAGCTCCTACCGTAATCTGCAATGCGATCCGCCTCCATCCGCGCCATATGCCCCTCATAGGTGAGACGCTCGTTCTCAAGCGAGCGGCGGGCCTCCTCAAGGGAACTCCGGGCTGAACGCCTCTCCTCCATAAGGGACAGGTTTAACTCCTCAACTCGTTGAGAAAGTCGGCGTTCAGTTTCTTCGTGTTGGAGACGCCACCTATGCTCAACTGCCTCCGCCGCCTTCCTCGCCTCCTCCTCGGACCGACGACGCCATGTTCGCTCCAACTCCTCCTCTGCTCTCCTTCGGTGAAGATCGGCCTACTCTCGAATTTGCAATTCCCGCTCTCTGACCTGCCGCTCCATGTCCCTCCTCAGAGATTCCTCACGCTGTCCAACCTTAGCCGAAAGCCGCTCGCGGTCAGAGTAGAGCTGGTCGTTCTCCGACAAAACCCGATCGTATTCCAGGCGCTCGACACAAATAGAGTGCCGAGATTTGAAATCCCGCAGCTCCTTTGATAAAGCAGCATTGCGGTCCAACAGGCGAAGAGAGTGGCGCTGGGCAGAGGAAGTGGCAACATAATCGGCCTATCAAAAGAGGAAGAAAGTAGAAGTTAGTTATCCTAATTGGAGCAGTGTAGGAATAAGTGGAAAACTTAAAACGAGAAGGAGGGGGACACTTACCATACGAGTATACTCCTCCTGCATAAACGGCCAAACGGGGCTGTGAATCACATCTGGATGGTCCCTCTTAAGCTGTTGTATTTCTTGAAGCTTATTGTTGAAATCCCGTCCAACCCAAGCCGTGTACCCTGTGAACTGATAGGCCTCCCGGGCATAGGGAAAGGGCTGACTCCCTTGCGCGGTAGGAGACCCATCACCAGCGGTCCCAAAGAAGTGATCAGCGGTCCCCATGGAAGGACCGGCGGACACCAAAGAGCCTGGAAGAGGAGTGGAATTTCGGCCCCTCTTGTGATGGGCCTGGGAAGAAGAAGAAGACCCGGTCTCTTGAGTGGATGGACCGGGAACAGCAGTGGGCTGGACGGAGGATGGGACAATAACCTTCCCAAAACTGGAGGACCGAATTTTCTCCTCCGTCTCCCTAAAGGACCGATGGATATTTGCTCCAGGAAGAGGAACACCGCCCTGGCCAAGGGGCGTCCCAAAAATGCTCTCCGCCGCTGACTCTGCAAAATTTAGGGCAGTGGACGGTTGGAGCAGGGAAATTGCTTCATTCCCCCCACAGCCAGAGGAGGGGGAATATTCCCAAGGAGACTCAGTGCTGCACGGAATCCCAATTCCGGCCACCTGGACATGTGGCGGTTCAAGGGACCCCTGTGAACCGGTGGTGCGCCCAATGGGAAAGGTCCCAGTGAGTTGAGGATGGGAACCCAACGGGCCCATGAACTGGGCAGAAGGAGGGGCCCCCTGCCAAAAAGAGGAGTATGGGGAACACCGGGGATAAGACCGGACCCCCTCAAGGTCCCCGGAGGGAAGTCGTAGTGGCCGTCGTCGTCAGAAACTTCCTCGACCGCCACCTCTTCCGAAAGATGAGGGTGGTCGGCAAGTAGCACAGGTTGGGTCCCGGTCACGGATCCAGCCTCTTCGCCCTCGGTGTCCTCCTCCGGGGAAGGATCCCTTCGAGAAGATCGCCGGCGGAGTCGGGTGCTCCTGAAAGGAGGAACCCAAGAGGAAGTTGTGTTTCCCGACGGCTCTTGAAGAGGAGTATCGGGGGACACCCAGTATCCAAGACCCCGGAGATTTGAATCCTTGAAGAGAAGCGCTCGGGGAACCGGATAGCCGTTCTTGAGAAGGAGACGGTAGATCCCATCAAGCTCCGAGTCACGCGGAGGAAAGGTATGAGAAGGAAATTTATCTTCCTTCTTTCGCCACACATTAGGGAAGGGGAGGTTCTCCGGGACTACCACCACGAGGAAGCGCCGGAACCAGTCATCAAGTTTGTCACCAGGGCTGTCCAAAAACTGCATATCGGTCCGGGCCGTGAAACTCACGTATCCCCGGCCCAACTCACTGTCATATTTATGTGGACGGAAGAGAGAGAGGAAGAGCTTCAGAGTGGGTTGGATGCCTCTCTTGTGACACCGCGCCAAGAAGCCAAAAAGACTCTCGTGGGAGTTCGAGGAAATCTGACCGGGAGGTATGGCGTAGCGGTTGCAAAGTTCGATCAAGAGGGGATGGAGAGGAAAGCGACATCCCATCCTAACCGAGTCATAGTGGACGACCAGTCGGCGGGAGATGTCAGGATTGCGCTCCAAAGTAATACCCACGGCTTCCTGGACGCCATAATCAGGAGGAATGAATCCCCTCATCTCCCCCAATTGCGCAGGGGTGATGGAAGAGACACTCTCATCCTCCTTAGACTTTTTGCTGCCGTTGAAGATCTTGGAGACCTTGGAGATGGTCTTCTTCATGGTGAGAGAGAGTGAAAGTCTTGGGAAGGAGAGAGGGTAATTCGGAAGGGATAAGAGCAAAGAAAGTGGAGAGTTGTATGTAAACGTGAAAAAGGAGAGGGGAGAGGGACCGGTTTTATAGAGAAAGAGAAGAGGAAGAAGAAACGGTCCTCCCTCAATGCTCCTTTGCAACGGCAAGAATTTGAACGGCACCTATCTCGAAACGGTCCAATGGCAGTAAAAGGAAAAGAGGATTTCCCAGATCTGCCGTCCTCTGTTTCTTTCCTTTTTCCTGCCACGGTCCCACAATTATAGAAGGGTGGGGACTTTGAATTGTGTGCAGTAGAACGGTCCTATACAGCAATTAAGGGAATTAGAGGAACCGGTCAAAAAAGGGTTTGGAAAGATGGGCCATGGGTATTTAAGTGGCGCAGAACTCCAGACGGTCCACACTGGCGATTCCCAAGGCCTGCGGTCCTCTATTACCATCTCCTTTAACTTCCTGCTGTGGTCAACAATTATTAGGGTGATGTGGCCACTGGCACCCCAGATAGTAATCGGACGGATATGCGGCGCCACAGTCCAATGAGTGTGTAGCAGTCAGCCAATTATTCATTTAGGGACCATGGCCCATAAAGATGTGCTACAGAAAATATCTGGAGTGAATACAAAGTGAATTTTGGGGTTTTTTCCAAAGGGAAGAATCTTCGTCAGAAAATGAAGAGAAGACAGAGGAAAAACTTCCCGGTAAGGCATGCGAGGAAGACTACAGTCAAAATTTTTTTTATTTTTTGACTTGTAAAAAAAGGGGCATGTGATGGGAACCAAGCCCATCGAGAAGAATACTGGCGAATTGGGCCTAGGCCCAACCTGGATCCCGTCCATCAAAAGGAGCGTCCGGCCCGGGTAAAATATATCGGGCCGGTCAAAGGGAGTCTGTCCGTGAAGGAAGATAGGAAAAGGAAGAAAAGTGGGGTTTAAGGATGGGCTGGAGCCAGCCCATTAGGAGTAAGCAACCCTAAAAAGAAAGGAATCCTATGGAGGAGTCTAGAGCAGTCCCCCCTTTATCGGAGGGACAAGGACGAAGAGAAAAGGACGGACAGGGAACAAGAAAGGGACGGCTAGGTTTGTCCTCCAGTGGACGGCCTCAAGTGGAGGTACATTCCCCCCAGGGAATGAGGGCTGGCACGAACATTCCCCCTGACCACTGCCATATTGAAGGAGAAAGTGGATGGAAGCGCCTATAAAAGAGAGAAGGATTGAGAGATTAAGATCATCTTGGAATAGAGAGAGAAAATACTTGAGTAATAATAAAAGATATTCCGGCGATCCTTAAGCATATTCCATTCCTGAGAGGACCGGATAAAGGAGAGGACCGCCGGTCTTAGTTCTTGTTTCGTGAGTAGTGTCCCAATTACTATTACTTACTATTCTCGTATTATTCTTTCAATATTATAAGGCCCGGATACCTATATTTGGACCTGGGCCGATCTACAGTCCTTAGGAAAATATTGGGTATCCATCAGCTTGAAAAACTCAAAAAAAAAAAACTAAAAAAATTTAGAAAAAACTAAAAAAATTTGAAAAAACGTGGTGGCATTATGGTAAATAAGTTGAACTTGACTCTCAGTGCCCAAAATGTACTACCACAGTGTAAAAATACATCGTGACGGGATAAAAATGAAACAATATCGTTTTCCGCCGCTTTTGTTTAAAAAAGAAAAAATCCAGAAATTGCATCGAAACTAGCAAACTAAATCCCCGCTTGTAGGCCGTCAAAAAAAAGTAAATTCCATAATTAGTCCTTTATAAAATGGAGATTTTTCTATTTAGTCCTCTGTTATCAAATATTACTCCGGTGGTCCTTCTTTTATAGGTATCTTTCTATAAATAGTCTTTGTTTGATCTTCTATCATGTTGGTGTTAATTTGATGGCTAAAAGTGTAGTTTCACAATGATAATATATCTTTTTTGTCATATACAATTCCAAATGATGCTTCTGATTCGACGTTTGTGAATTATAGTCGCTCTCTACTACAATTATAGTCTACAGATCGATGTGATCTTTCGTCGGAATCCTAGCCCACAATTATAGTCATTTTTGTGTTATTCACCTAACCAATAATAGAATATGTCAATGGACATAAGGTTGATGATAAATTATACTTTTAGCCTTTAAATTAACACCAACATGACAGAAGATTAAAAAACCATTTGTGGAAAGGCACCTTTAAAAGAAGGACTACAGAAGTAATATTTGATAATAGAGAACTTAATATAAAAATTCCCTTGTTATAAAGGACGAATTATAAAATTTACTCAAAAAACCTACTTCTAGAGCGTAATAAATATGAAAACTATCGAATATACCAGCCATTATTTTTTAAATAAATATTGAAACCAAAAGATAATCCCTTGCTTCTAGAGCATAAAAAAATTTAAGAAAATGAAATAATATAGAAACCGACTAACCCACTCTAAGAGCCCTAGAAATGGTCATGAAGTCTGGGCCTTTAAACCTTCTCTTTCTGCCACATCAGCTTTAACTTACACTAAAATTTTACTGGAAATGGGATTGAAGCTCCGGGCTTCAAAATGGGACTTCAAACCTCTATTCTATTACATTTTTGAGTACACATCTTCTAAAATTAAAGTAAATTAATAACATTTCATTATTTAATTAAATTTAAATGTCAATAATTCATTAAATGAAAAATACATTCGATAGAAATTATATTAATAAAATAAGATTTGAATAATAACAACATAAACAAATAAATAAAATTACAAGAAATTAGTGATTATTCGAGCAACTAAATACTTGTAACTGCTCAATGTCGCTCGCTGTCGGCTTACGTAATTACCTTTTATGATAAAGTCTAATAATAGCTTTAGAAGATTTATAAACACGTGACCTGATGCTCTGAGCCGGCATCTTCAAATTTCGTCGGACATATTAGATGTCGTGCCGTAGGCCATCTGACGAAGTGCAGTGGTGCACTTTTGGACGCTGCTAAAACCGTGCCGGCCTTTCGCATCAAAGCATTGAGTGAACGTAACTAAGACCCCTCGTGTTCAATATCGGTGAGTATGCATAAAAAAAGAGAACGACTCATTCGAAAATGTTTGTTAAAATTCTCTGGTGCGTAAACGCACGGAGTATTGAAGTAGTCGTTGAGCAGTGAAGCGTGTGCAGCTGCCCGGTCACGGTTTAAACGCTCATGTAGGGTCAAGCGTCGTTGTCGGGAGGATTCCGCTTGTTCACGTTGGCCTTGTTGCCACCATTTATAACAACCCGTCGTGAAATAACAAAAAATGAGAGCTCTCTTGTCATCATCAGATGATGATCCTATTTTTCAAATATTTTGTATAGAGAATTAAAAGAAATAATATATATATTGGAAGAATTATGGAGAGAATGAGAATAGGTTGTGTGTTTGTTGTGTTAAAAATAAGGGATATTTGTAGTATTGAAAATATTGTTTTAAAAAATAATGTCCAACAGCATTATAGCCGTTTGGGCCACCAGCGGCTCTCCCCAGCCCCTCCCCTTTCTCAGCGTTAAACATTTATATAACGCGGCGGTAGGGGGTGGTGTTTAACGCCCGACTGCTTTAAACGGCCGATGACGCCCCCTCCCTCGGCGTTAAGACCATTACGAGTAGTCTTATGTTTAAAACATGAAAAAAATTACATATGAAAACTTCCATACCATATGGCGTGTAATTACAAAAGGGTCAACCAAAAAACTTACCACACCATAAAAGAAGAATCCATATAGCAGATGATTAAACAAGTGAAGTTGCAGAGAAAGTAATATCATATAAATATGGGAATTGTTAGAGCAATTGTGTTATTTATTAAATTTGAAAGTATTGACGTGAAATAGTATAGAAAATTAGTTGGAATAATGATGCAAATTTTCCTTTCCTTTTTCATCATACTCCAAAGCCAAAAAAATAGTACTCCCTCTCTCCCAAATTAAATTGCATGTTTACTAATTCATATGGTTAAACTTCATCCGTTAACATACTATATTTTTGTTAGACATCTGATAAAATAATATAGTCATGTCACCACTAGTTTTGTAGATCTTATGATATAGGCTACGTTCTAGTCGCCTGATCGTATTTGATTTGATCTGATTTTTTGAAGTTTTGATCTGATCTGGTCTAGTTTGATCTCATATGATCCGATTAGATCTGATTTGATTTGATCTGATTGGATCTGATCTGATTTAGTCTGATTGGATTTGATCTAATATGAATTTGAATAAAATTAAAATTAAAATTAAAATTAAAATTAAAATTGAAAATTTTTATTATAATAGTTATAATAATAGTTATAATAAAAATAATATAAATATTAATAATAATAGTAATAATAATAATACTAATAGTAATAATAACAATAGTAATGAGAATTGTAATGATAATAATAATAACTATAATAATAATACTAATAATATTAGTAATAATAATAATAGAAATAATAATAATAATAGTAACAATAAAAATAGTAATAATAATAGTGATATTAATAATAACTATAATAATAATAGTAATAACAATAATAATGGAAATAATAATAATAGTAATAATAATAATAACAATAATAATAATAATAATAATAATAATAATAATAATAATAACAGGAATAATAATATTAGTAACAATGATAATAATAGTAATCCTAATAATAATAGTAATAAAAATATTAGCAGTAGTAGTAGTAGTAGTAATAATAATAGTAATAATTATAATAACAATAGTAATAATTATTATAGTCATAATAATAATAGTAATAGTAATAATAATAATAATACAAATAATAATAATAATAATAGAAATAATAATAAGTGTAATAATAATAATAGTAATAATAGTTATAATAATAATAATAGTAATAGTAATAGTAATAAGAGTAATAATCATAATAATAGTAATAATAATAGTAACAATAATAATATTATTAATATTAAAAGTAATAATGATAACCATAGTAATTATAATTATAATCATAATAGTAATAGTAATAATAATACTAATAATAGTGGTAATAATAGTAATAGTAATAATAATAAAAATAATAATAATCTTGATTTTGTTTAGATCTGGTTTGATCTGATCTGAACTTATCTGATATGATCTGATTTTAATAAAAATAAGTAATAAGCAGAAAAAATAA